CACACACACACACACACACACACACACACACACACACACACACACACGTAGTAGTAGTGTATATTTCCATGTTCTAGCGGAAGATTCATTCGTTTTGCTCATCCTATCGATGGAAGTAGCGTGAGGCCAGCCACGGGGTTAGAGACTTACCTGTTGGCCGGTGTGTTGCTCATCCTATCGGTGGAAAACTCTCTCTCTCTCTCTCTCTCTCTCTCTCTCTCTCTCTCTCTCTCTCTCTCACACACACACACACACACACTCACTCGCACACACACACACACACACACACACACACACACGTGATAAAAGAGAAAAAGAGAATAAAAGAAATAAGAATGAATAGATTAATGTAGACACGAGGATAAACTGGAACCAAGGGTAGCAGGGACAGACTGACATCTCCACTTCCTCCATGATCTGGGTCCCACTGTCGACGATCGGACATCAACCAATGTGACACTTATGACACTCGGGGAACGGAACCTGATGAGGTTATGGGATGAAATACTGTCAAAAGAGGCAACAAGATCTGGGTACCGTGCTTCGAGAATTTGGCAGCGGCGGTAATGATCGGGGCAGGCCCTGGCATGGCCCCGACGCTACGACTAATCGCACGAACATCAGACCTGTAGCGTCTAGATTAAGCCTCTCTTATTATTATTTTTTTTGAGCCAATGCATCTTGAGTAGGCCCGATGTCCAGATTAGCCCACAAAGTGCACCAGACACTTACGGAAAATCCCCACGACCCTCGGGAGTGGAACTCTGCGCCCTCAGCCTATTATAAGTAAACCCTCCACCCATGCATCCATCATCTATCTCCCAGTTGCTTGCGCATTGTTGTATGCTTGTACGGAGAAGTGGCTTTCAGAGGAAGCGCGTTGCATTCTGCTATGGCTGGCCTGGATTTGGACAACTTCCTATACGCGGACCTTGCCGAAGAGCAAAGCGAGGACGAAGCGGTATAGCCCTCCCTATCCTCCCATGCCTTGTCTATGTGGATATGGTGGATGTTGTATGGGCATGTTGAGTTTTTGATTGCAGGCGAAAAAGCTTTAAGGGACAGCCACACCCTACCTGCTACTCGCGTCCTTCTCCCTATCCAGCAGAACCGTTGCTTCTCTTTGAAAGCCGCTTGGTGTGGATATGGCACTTGTCTTCTGCTGCATGACACTCAGAGTTGTTGGGTCAGTACGTGAGGAGGATGGAGCATACTTTTAGGAATGATAGTTAAATCAGACCCCACCTCGCACTCCTTCTGGCTCATCTTACTATGATAGGGGGATGGAATAATCACTGTTGCTGAATAGATGTACTATTTCGTAGAAACCGCCGATACAATCATCTCTGGGTCACGACGAGCCAGGACCACGTACGGAGAACTGCGATGAATTGCCTCTATGATGGGTAAGGACGCACACGGTGAGGAAATGAGGGGTACAGCGGAGGAGGCAACGATACACTAATCTGGGATGGGGAGGAGGCCATCTGGACGGGAGGCATAGGATCGGATATCGTTACCGTTAGTGTCTCTTTCGGACTATGTGTTATGACCCGGACCAATTGCGAAGTACAAATTCACCAATAAAGCACAATGCTGCCCAATTGCAAAAGAAATGAATGAACTTGAGAGGATTGAGAGGATAAGAAGAAGAAGAAG